AAGCAGACCCTGGGAGCCCCGAGGGCTTTCGGGCCACATATTAAGGCTGGCCTGATCTGAGCATGGTAAGCCCCAAATATTTTTTGGTCCGGATCATGGCTAACGATGGCCCGACCCTAAAAATTTTTAAGTATATATTTTACATATATTAAAATATGTCATAATTATGTGCGACCCACCTAGGGGTGGCATTCGACCCTGATCCGACCTAGGACTCTAGTGGGCTAGACCCGATCCAGATCCGGGTGTGGTCCAAAAATTGGACCCGGTGGGTCAGGTCCGCATCCAAATCTTGGACCTGAACACTATTCTGGTCCGGGTCTAGGTCCAAATGGGTCCAGGTCCAGGTCCAGGTCCGATAATATTTTTCAGTCCCAATATAGTTTATATATTTAATTATATTGAAATATATAGATATTTTAATTTTTGGTTGGGTCGCTGGACCTGTTGCCACCCCTATTTTTTTTTGGGTAAGTGAAGGGCTCGAGCCTCATTATCACAAATTTGCACAAGGCCTGGCCCTAAATTTTCGGGCCTGGGGCTACCCTACAATGATTGGTGGGTGCCTAGCTCAGGCCAGGCTGGGCTGACTCGAACTAGGCTCATTAACAAACCCGCTTGAACACAATATCACAGAGTTAATCATATAAAATGGTGAAAACTGAGCTGTAAGTGGGTAGGAGACTTTTAACCACGGTAAGGATTCACGTCCCCTTGTCTAACTGTGGGCAAAGTTCAATTAAATCCAAAAATCGAGGCAAAATCAGTGCTTGCTTTGTCATTGTTATAGGGCCACTACTCAGCAAAACCATGGCACGAACAGGGCAAAATTTTGGTTAGTTGAGATTGGAACTGAAAAATCTTAGTTAATTTGTTCCAAAATTCTCAGTGAGACATAGGCTCTTGATGCCGATCGTCGGGAGGTGTGCTTCGGGACAATATAGTGCCTGGAGCAAAAGTTTGGAGCTTCAAATTCAGGGTTTCTTCTAAACCATGGCGGGAATTCACACTTTGATCCTTTGTTAGCCAAAAACTCGAAAGATTCGAGGAAGCGTCTGTCTGTCTGTCGAGTGAAAAATCAACCACAGCCAACTTCACCTGTAGGTGGAGAGACTTGGAATGGTAGTTATCAGAGTGGCACTAAAAACACAGAGTTAGTGTTTCGAAGTATTAACGCAACTAGGCCGATTTAAATGCTCACTAAAGAAATCTCGGAGTCGCATTCATGAGAACCTTTTGGGGGGAATACAGAGCTCAAAATTGATGTTTCCTGTTGTGCAAAATTATGAATTAGAAAGCAACAGATCCCACTGAAAATAGTTGAATGTTAAAATATAAATCTGGTTCTTAAAAACATGGTCAAAACTCACAAAGGCAGAAGTTTGTTACTTTGATCGAAAATTTCTTAAAATTTAATCCGACAACGACAACGGGTCGTTTATCGACTTTAAATTCATTGTTCACATACTATAGCTACAGTTGAACTGTGAGAGTGGGTGGGAGAGGGCAAAAATGCCATTGAATCAAAGTAGGAGTAGGTGGAATAAGCGCACTGAAAACACAGGGATAATTGTGATAACCAAGGTAAAAGACACATGAGGGGGATTTTTGATAAGGATGAAGTTTCTATAGGGCGTAGGCTTTATGAAAACAAAACAAAGCCTCACCTCAAATCCTAAAGCACTCTCGGCATCAAAAATTTCCAAGATGGTTTTAAAATCAATTTTTAACGTTGACAATAAATTTTAAAAACTAAAAAATGGTACAGATCTGATAGATTTGTAAACACTTATTTTTAAGACGAAATAGGTAGTCTAGATGATTTAAAATTTAAAATCCTAATATTTTTTTTTACAACCATAATGTTCAAGTTGAGATAATGCATTTAAATATTTTCTAACACTTGAATTGCAATTTTCGATGAGTTATGAGGTGAAGCTTTACTTATTTTGATGAGGCTGTAGCCCAATCAAAATATTTTCCTTTGGATAAAAGTTACCATGAACATGGAGTTTTGGCAAGATCTAGTAATTTTGTTTGTTGATCTGAGATGCTAGATTCAATCTCTTGACACAAAACTCCCTGGATTATGTTTGAGTTAGTTTTAAAACATGGGTTTAAATCTAACAAGGTAGTGGTCTCAAATTCTTTATTTTAGAATGAACAAGGGGAAGTGTTCATGGGTGGCCATACCTTACAAACTTATTTTCTATTAACCAAAAGTTAATAGAAATAAAACATAAACCAAAGTCATGAACATCACTATGGAAGCTTCTTTGGTTTGGCCAAGGAAAAATGAATGCTTCAATTCTTTAGCTGATTCGAAGGAAAACTTCTTAAGGTTATTCTAGAATTCGATACTTCACTAAGGCGTGCATACATACAAAATTTCAAATCATTATGATTTATAAAAAAATTATTGAAATCAAACACTATTAAACATCTGTAACCGTGTGAAGGACTTTGGACAGTGATAAACTGTAGTACTTCATCTACAAGTGTTTTAAAGTGTTTTTTCATATATATAATAGGATGAAGAGAGTGTGTAAGTAAATTTTGGAGTCATACAAATGCCACAAACATGGTTTTCTAGAAGTATGATTTCATTATATTACAATACATGGTAACATGAAATCACTCTGCTATATAGGGAATGATTTTATGCAACGGTTCTATAGTAATTTAATGAAACAATCTTTAGAAACCGTCTTAGGGTCAATTGTTTGATCTCAATGTTTAAATATACAATTTTTTCATTCATATGGACAATTAAAAAAAAAACAAAATTTGAAAATACACTAGAACTTTTTTTGGCCCAATTACGCCTAAATCTAAGCCTTAGAAGAATTTTTATTCTTTTTAAATTTTTTAGATAGCTATTATCATTAGATTCATCATGTTAAAAAAGAAAAAAATTATTTTGAATTCATAAAAGTTTAGATCTTAAAATTCACAAAATGGAAAACCTAGATTCTATACGTATGTGTATATGTTAGAGAAAAAAAAGAAGTAAAGTTCTAGATCCTCATCATTATCATCATCCGAATATTATCTTTACTATTTGAGGTTAATTATAAAAGAACTTCTTTTATAAGAAGAAAAATTATCTTTTTTTTTCTTAGTTAAGGGCCTTTCTCAGATTACTATATTCTTTGACTTCAATATATTAAAATATCAATTATTCCATGACTAGATCCAATTGAAAAAGGTCGGATCACCTTAATGTATTTTTATATTCGCTTTGCATGATTTGGGTAAAAACCAGAAGATTTTGGTCTCTTCAGGTGAAGCAAAGTAATCTGATTACATCAATATAATCTACATTACGTCCATTTGGATCATACTATTTACATTTCCCTGAACCACGTCACATCTAGGGTTGAAATAATTTATGTCCAAATCAACAACTTGTTGTAGTGAATTTTAATGACTAACTGTCTCATGTACCACCACGATTGTCTAGTAAAACCGCCCATTTTAACTATATCCTAATTTTTTTACCCAAAAAACCATATCCTAAATTCCTAATCTAAGCCTCAATATACTAAATGCTCTTGGAAAAAGCTTATATAAGGCATCAACTTTATATGCACCTCAAATATCCTCTAGAAGAGAGTATTCCGATGTTAAAAAACCTTCCAATTTGATCATCGCGACATTGAGATGCGTAGATATGAAGAAGAAAAAAACCTCAAATCATGAAAATAACAAATTATCTAGACCGACTATTTTAAAACTGAACAATTGTTTCATGCAGACTAGACTACATTTCTACAATATGCGGTCCATAGGTATAAAGCATCCATCTTGAAGATGGATGCAAATAAGTGGGCTATTTGAAAACAATTGTAACTAACAGTTCAAATGTTTTTTTATTATAAGGAAAATTGTTTCATGAGGGCTGGACCACATTTCTACATATGCGATCCAGAAAGTGTAAAGCATCCATCTTAAAGATGGATGCAAGTAGGTGTTCTATCTAAAAACAATGGTAACTAACGGTCTAAATATTTTCTTACTAGAATTATTATTTTTAGTTTTTAAAATTTATTTATTTATTTTTTCATATTCATGATCTTCATGTTAGAGATTAAATAGCCTTAAAAAATAAATCTCAAAATCCATCTCAAAAATAGATTTATTAAGAGGCCCACATTTCTGCATATGCGGGCTTGGCCGTATAAAAACTAGGTCCTTAATATAATTATTATTTCTAATTTTTTTTTAAAAAAAATCATATTCATGATCTCCATGTTAAAGATTATATATTATCTAAAAATTAAGATCAAATTAAATTTAAAAAATACATTTATTGTCAAGCTAGCTTTTCTACACTATGCATGCCGAAACCCTGTCCAAATGAAAGTTTCAAGCCATCACAAAGTTTCAATACCGGAACTACATCTCCATTACAAATGAGAACTATACTTTACTTCTGCATTATATGGAGGGCACCTTATACAATCTAACGAATTTCTTTTATGAGTGAGGTTTGTATAAAGCTGTAACTTTAAACAATCAAAATTAGGCGTGTCTCTAAATTTTATTATGAATAATGTTTTTAATCTAAAATTTTTTTAGGAGGGTTGAATAATCTTTTTTTTTTTAATTATAAAATATTTAACTAAAAAAATTGTACAAATCAAATAAATTTATAAATATTTAAAAATCTTAAAAATAGACTGTCTAGATTCGCATGAGGGTTTTCCAACATGGGAACAACCGTTCTTGGAATTTGGACGCGCACCTTAATTCTACTTACATAAACGTTGGCCCTTTATTAGCAAAGGGATATAGATGTGATTGAGATTATTGATAAGGATAGGAACATTGCTTCCATAATTGTATGAGTAGACGTATGAGCCGAGGCAAAAGCCGAGCCAAAATGGAGGGAATGATCGTTGGCTTGAAAAAATGTTTCCGTTTTTCTTCTCTTTCTTACTTTTCAAATTCTTTGCTGCTGTTTCCTATTTCCATAGCGACTTTAGAGTGAGAAAATGGCGTACTTTCTTCTTCAATTTTCTATTACCTTTTTGCCTCGGAGATTTGGATTTGATTTGCCTGGGATTTGATGACCAAGTCTTGAAGCAATCGCCATCTCTCTCTCCTCTCTCTCTATGTTGCACTCTCGAAGGAAAGACACACAGACACTCTCTCTCTCTCTCTCTCTAAGGAAAAACACACAGTCTCTCTATCCCTGAATGCAAGTTGAAGGAAGAAAAGCCCAAGACGTTTGCAGGTCTAAAGAATGAAAACCCATAAGTTTATGGGTGCTAAAGAACTCTCTCTATCTTTCTCTCTTTAGTTGAAGGAAGATGCACCCAAGATGTGTGGGAGTTGAAAGAAAAAGAACCCATTATGTGTGGAAGTTGAAAGATGAAAGTGTGAAAGTTGATAGAAGAAGATCAATTGGTTTATGCATGTAAGGGAAATCTCTCTCTAAAAAATGTGAGCCAGAGAAGTTTTCACGACCTCCGTTTTATTGAATTTTTCCCAAAAGCAGAGTTTGGGCTTTTCTCTTGGAGATGAGATTAAAGGGATGCCTTCTAATGAGATGTGGATTTCTCTTGATTTCTCTACTTTCTTGTGTTGAAACCAGTGTAGAAATGTCATGTTCTTCTTTGTTGGTTTCATTGGTGGTCCTGGGATTGTGGTTTTGGGTAATGGTGGAATTGGAAAAGAGTTGCAGAGTAGTGGGGGTTGATGAGAGAGAAAGTGTGGTGATCAAGTCCCATTGTAACAAAAGTGAGTTCTCTTACATTTGCTGTTATACTGGTAAAATCTAGTTCTCTCTCTCCTCTAATTGGTTAAGTAATTTTCTCTCTCTTGCCTTTGAATGTATTTTCTATTTTCTCCATGTTGCTTGGGTAAGTAAATCTTATCTTTACTTTTTATCTGAATATTGTTACCATTGTTGTTCTTGGGGACTTTGAGTGTTATAAATTTGTAATTATTGTGCATCAGAACTTTTGATTCAAAATTCAATGGGTTATGACTTTTTATTGTATCTCTGGTGTTAATTTACTTGTTCAGTTTATCACTTATTTGCATTTGCAAATAAATATTGTAATTCAGCACTTTCTAATGTCTCCTACATTGAAAAAATGAGCTTCTCAATTTCAATTTCATGGCACAGCTAAATTATCATGCATTCGATCATAAATTATATTTGTTTCAATGTTATTTTTATTCTGGGATTGTTGTAGAAGTTATTGTGTGTCATATAGGTGCAACAAATTATCATACCCTATACTATGTCATCATCTTTTTAGTTAATTTATGTATATATTTTTCTAAATAGGAAGCTTTATTTTCTGAGGAGATAATGTAATTTGGCATTTACTTCAGTGAATTTTACTTATGAAGTACAATCAAAGATGTGTTACTTGATTTATTTATTTATTTTCCTTTTTCTCTTTTGGGATTTGATTATAATGCAAAAGCAATTCATAGCCTTTTTTGAATTATATGAATTTTGCATTATTTTTAGCTGGGCAGTTGGTTGCTTGCCTAGATGAATATCCTAAAAATAAGATGAATATCCTAAAAATAAGTTCATCTTTTTATGGCAGAATCCTTCACTTTACTAAAGTTCTTCTTTTTTTAATTATCATGAAACCACTTTCTTCTCCTCATTTTCCCAATTTTTGTTAATGGGCCCTCCAATTTGTTGGTATTTTCCCATTTTTCATTTCATATTCAATACCACATTTATTGTCACCCCATTTTTGTTCACTCACAGATAGACTTAATTTCCCATTTTTCCAATTTCAGTAAAAAATCAAAATGAAAATATCTAATTTTCTAAATTTTCTCTCTACCTAGGAATCCTTGCCAACTCTCTGAATCCAAAACCTGGAGGTCACATGGCACAAGATTTCATATTTCCCCATTTTAACCCTGAAAATGCAGAATCCATGCGTTGTCACGGCTGCACGAAAGCCCGGCCACTGGGGGTAAATTCAGAGATCACGGCGATTCTTCTCACTGTAATTGGCCTAAAAAATGGTGAGCATACGTAAAGGTGAGCACACGCTTCCTCGAATCTCTTTGTGGTGGTCTAATTTTGTGGATTTTTGCAGATTTTTTGGTTCCCAAAAAAGAAAATGGGCTTCACGGGTGTTCTTTAAGTTCATGCATCAGTCGAGCTGGGCTGTATCGCCTTCTTTTGAGAGTTCAGGTAGAGAGTGAGAGGAGAGGGAGAACCATGCTTTCAGGTGGGTCTAGTGCTGTTCCGGCGACTGAGAACGGAGAGGGCAATGGATCCCCAAAGTCTCATCACCCAAGGATCCTGTTGGTCGAGGACATTGAGCTCAATCGGGTAATTTCATAGTCTCTTTGTGCTTCTCTGTGTTGTTGTGTGTGCTGATGACATGCTCTGTTTACAAGCTTGTTCATGGCTTCATTCATTTGGATACTTAATGTGAGATGTTGAATATAGCTCTTTTATTTCTTTTTATTTTTAGACATGCATTAATCTGGGTGCTCTGTGTGTGTGTTGTGTTTTTGTCATATACTCTGTTTCAGAAAGTATTTATTTGTATTGGAATACTTAATTTGAATTATGTTGAAAATAGTAGCTTTAATACTTGTTATGTTTAGTGATGGATTAACTTGATGTGATTTTTCGACTGGTTAGTGTCTTGGATTTGATTTTCTACTATTATTCAGTTACTTGAATCCTTTTCATGCATACTTCATGTATCCTGATGGATTTCACTCTCTCAACATGAAAGAGAATGAGGAATCCTTTCAGTTTTAATTCATCCTTTACTCTCAGCAGTTGTGTGTGTGTGTTTGTCTGTGAGAGAAATGCTTCTTGGGTTTCTTATTTTTTGGATGAATGTATTCACTTCCCTTCTCTGGAAATTGCAGATTTTGGTGAGGAAACTACTTAGAGATCTGAATTTACAATGCGAAGAAGCTGAAAATGGACAGGTTGCAGTGGATCTCTTTAAGCAAGGGAAACAGTACGATCTTGTGTTCATGGACAAGGAGATGCCGGTCATGGACGGCCATGAGGTACACTCGATATGTTTTTATTTTTGAACTTAATCCATTTGTTCTCCTTTTACTTCCTTTGAAGATTCGAATTCTCCACTTGTTTTTTTTTTCTCTCCAAAAGAAAACTGAAAATCTAGGCCCTCAGATGGTTTCCATTGGGATGCGTATTTGTTTTTCACAATAAATATGTGTTTTGTCTAGTTGCAGCTTAATTTCAATTACTAAATGGTTGATTAGTTTTGCTGCCTTGGTTGCAGTCATTTGCATTAAGGGGCATTTTGGCCATTTACATGAGGGGGCATTTTTTTCATTTATGCTTAGGAGGATGTTTTTGTCATTTTCATAGTAGAGGTATTTTGATCAGTTTTTAAACAAAATAAGTCACTGTTTTGCACATAATAATATGTACTTATATATTTATATTTGATAAATAATAGATGAGGTCAGCATATTTTTTTTACTGAAAATTAATGTTTCATTTTTAAAATTTGAGCTATTTTAGTGACCCCCATTAAGAAAGTTTCTCAATCTTAAGGCTGTTTCTTAGGTAGAAAATTATTGGTTTTTATTTGATTTGATTTGATTTTATTTTTGTGAACAGGCCACAAGGCAGCTCCGAACACTGGGAGTGCAGACTCCAATTGTTGCTCTGACTGGGAACAACTTGCCATCAGACAAAGAGTCATTTCTTGCTGCTGGTGTCGACGAATTCCGTGCTAAGGTTGATTTCTTATTTTCTCAGATTTTGTGTCATACCATTTTCTTTATTTTTGTTATGATTTTCAGTGGCTTGCCTTCTTTTTAGTATGTTACATTTTGCTTTTACTGCATGCAGCCACTCACAAAGAACGAGCTCGTACTTCTCCTTACTCAATATGGACTGGTGCATTCGAGCTCTCAATAATGGCGGAAACTTGCATTTTTCTTTCTTTTATTCGATGTGAATTATGCATTTTAGCATTAATTTTCTCGTATAAAAGAGGGTGGTTTTCGTTTTTTACCCGAGTTAATGTACCGGGCTTCGGCCCGAAAGTGATGAGTAACAAAAAATACTCATTTCATTAATAAAGATAATATGAATATCCCCTAGAACCTTCTTTGTTTTCCTCTCTTTTTCTTTTCTCCTTTCTTTTTGGGGTGGGGCTTGTGTTAAAGGGCTGGTGGTGGGTTATGGGTAAAAGAAGTAATGTTTGAAATTGAAACTGATCTAATTTCTATTGTAAATGACTATATTGCCCTTCTCAGTAGAATATCTATAAACTACGTATTCATCAGTTGACATGAGAAAGAACTTCCAACACTAAGTTTAATCTCTTAAGTGACTAAAATACCCCAGTTGGGACAATAAACAGCCCAAATGCAATCTGCAAATACATGTCGTTTCTGATTGATTTGAATAAAGGGATTATGGAGATCAAAATATGGGATCATAAACTTCAACTAAATGACCTCAAGCCTTGAATTCGAGCTAGGCTTCCTTTGTTTGGTTCATGCACAATGGGAAGAAGTTTTTACAGGACAATGTTTATGGACTATTATTGTTTACACATCACAAAGGCAAATAACATAATTTCAAAGACTATCTTATGATGTATATGCTGAGAATCTCTTTCCCTTTACTGGCATTGCTAAATTGAAGTGACCATTTTCATTCTGGTGCAAAATTGAATCATGGAAATGTAGGTCAAGAGTTTATATTATTGAAAAATGACCAAAATGCCCCAACGCGACATCGAATGCCGCGCCTTTTATGCTATTTATTGGCACTCGAATATCTTAAGTTTGGCAATAAAATAATGACTACATATCTTCAGAAACATGATATTCGCCAATCTATTCATATCTTCAAATCTTTGGGCATGCATGTGTAGAACATCCGCCAACGATTCGAAGTTTGCAAATCTTTGGGCATGCATGCGTAGAACATCTGCCAACGAATCGAAGTTTATTAGGATCTAAGTGATTACTTTCTGTCAAATTTTGGAAAGGTTATATTCAAGTTAACGTTGATGAACAAAACCATGAGCGGGATGTTTTTTGAATCCAAAGCCTGCGACCTCACATCTCCTTTTTCATTTCTTGAGGCAAAATCTTATAATGTGACACTCTTCTTTTGAATTTTGATATTTATAGTTATACACTTCTCTTTTGAAATTTCATCTATTTTTGTTCAAGTAGACCCATCGTTTCTTCTAAACCCATCTCATTTGCTTGCTACAGGCTTTACAGATGATGTCTCATCGTCAACTTGGAATCTCAGAGAGAGAGAGAGAGAGAGAGAGAGAGAGAGAGAGAGAGAGAGAGAGAGAGAGTGTGTAGTAGTAGTAGTATATGTAGTACTAGTACGTACGTACGTAACGTAACGTAACTATACGTACTACCGACCGTACCTACCGTACGTAACGTAACGTAACGGTAA